TACGTCGCGATAATAGGGTATTAAAAATCATACGCTAAGCTATAAGTTTGTCACTGGCTAAAGCGAAAAAAGAAATAACGACAAACATAAAAACTAACATCGAGTTTGTCAAGACAGGCTTAACAAAAGCCTTACTCAATTATAAATACCGCCAGTGACTGGACATTATTATAAAAATCATTACAGAATACCGGAGGATATCTGTGCCTTGGCGTCCAGACCAAACATATTTTTGTATGCAATGTCAATTAAACGTGTAGAACTAGAACTCACGGTGCCGCTGCGGTGGCAAACGAACATCCCTAAAGACCAAGCTTTAAAAAGAAACAAGTACTTTGATTTAACCAACGAAATAACTAAAAATTGTTATTGTTATTAGTTGTATGCCGTGGAAGTGGGTGCAAGGGGTATACCAGCTAAATCTCTCTATAACCTTCGTTTATTTGATTAATTCAATTTCAATTTTTCAATAAAAAAAAATTAAAGACAACTGCAACCTGCTTAAAGACCTTGGATCTTAAACGAATATCCAAAGTGGCATTGCTAGTCTCGTTTCAAATATGGTTACGTGAGCGGTAACACAGCAGATAGTGGAGATGAGCGCTGACGCATCGCAAGTACTCGCTAAACCTATTCCTGGGTCGCAATTCCCAGGCGCTGTCGAAGTCGCGTGTGTTGCCCCCGTGTTGCTATCACGCGATGGACTCGGCACCCGCACGGTGAAACCATGGAACACCAAGAAATTGGTATTTTATATAGATATTTCTAAATATCGTTATCGTCGGTTTATGTTGGTGAGGCTGACTGTTGATGGAATGAATGGGTGAGAGGATTTTCAATGTTGTTGAAATTTGATATAAATGAATATGGAGTTTAACCATTATTGGGGTCACCCAATGATAGTTAAATAAATGTGAAACGGACAAATCAGACAGTGGGCCATCGAACCACCACTGTCTCCAATGTCTGATTTACCATCTTCAGACGAATTTCTCGGTATCATTAGATCCTTGCCGCTAAACAAGGCTTCGGGCGATGATAAAATATCTAACAAAATGATAAAAGAAGCTTGTAAACTTTCGGGTGACACGATTTTCACTGTCTTTAAACGTTGCATTGCTGAAGGAATATTTCCTCGTATATGGCGGTGCGGTAATATTCGTATAATACCAAAAAGTGGCGACAAGCCACCGGATGATCCTAAATCCTACCGACCGATCACATTGTTACCGTCGTTAGGAAAGCTTTTAGAACGTCTTGTAGTGCCCCGGCTTCTGCCAGGTGGAGTCAAATTTCATGATAGACAATTTGGATTTACGTTGGGTAAATCGACAACTGACGCTGTTATATCGGTTAGAAAGTTTGTCACAGGGTCAAAATTTCAATACGTGCTGGCTATTTTCTTAGATATATCTGGCGCCTTCGACAACGCATGGTGGCCCATGCTGTTGCTGAAATTAAAATCACGGGGGTGTTTTAAAAATATTTATTCCCTTATCTCTTCGTACTTTTCACAAGGTACAACTAAACTAAGACTTGGTCATCATTCTGTGTCGAAGGCGCTTACAATGGGATGTCCTCAGGGATCGGTGCTAGGTCCATACTTGTGGAATATCGGCTTCGACGATTTTCTTGCGATACCAATACCATCCGGATGTACTCTGAACGCGTATGCTGATGACGGCTTATTACTGGTGGAATCTGATACTAGGGCGGGGCTTGAGAGATAAGCCAATAGATGTTTGAACGTGATATCATTGGGGTGAACGTAATCGCTTAACTTTTACACCCAACAAAACCTTCCAGCTACTTTTAAAAGGTAACCTCAATTCACCGCCGAGCATTAAATTTGACAATGTCACTGTAAAAAATAAAATCTTAACTTTTCATTAATCTCACATATTAAAATAGTTGATGAAAAGTCTAAAAAGAGTTTCTGTGCATTGACAAGGATATCAACTGCGACATGGGGTCTATCATTTAATACATTAAAGATCATATACGGAGCTACTTATTTAGGTTCTATGTGCTATGGTGCACCTGTATGGGCCGATAGGGCGACCGTAGGCGCTGTCCGTCGCAAACTGTTACAAGGCCAACGACTTGCACTGATATTCTTGTGTAAGGCTTATAGGACGGTTAGCACTGAGGCTTTGCCGGTGTTGGCGGGTGTGCTTCCGGTCGATCTCGAGGTGCAGAGACGTGCAGCCATGTACTATTCAAGACAAAACATGGAATGCGATTTCTTGGGCGCGCGGGATCGCGGTAAAATTACAAGATTGCTTCAACAGCAGTCCGATGTCTATAATGACCTCATAGACGAATGGCAGCAACGTTGGGACGAATCATCCAAGGGGCGCCATCTTTACCAATTTTTTCCATCTGTTCGCGAACGGTTGTCGAGGACATGGCTTGAGGTGGATCACTGTGTCGCTCAATTTCTTACGGGTCATGGTAACTTTAAGAGCAAGCTTTATTCATTTAAATTAGTCGAGTCACCATTGTGTCAATGCTCAACACCTAACTCTCACTATGAACAGTCTGCTCATCATATCCTCTGGGAATGTAGTCTTTGGTATAATGAACGTAATATAATGCTGAATAGCTTGCAGGTGACATCTGGGGCGGTATACTATGGGGATCTTGTGTCAACTAGGGTGAATTTCCGTGCGTTTAGGCGATTCTGCCATACATATTATAGAAATCAAATATAGCTCATGTAGGACCCGTAATATTTTGTGGCCGTGGTGCTTCCCTGTTTAAAACGGTGTATGCCTATTTTACTTCATTTTGTCTCCCGCTTTGCTAAGGAGGGAAGTGGATTTACTGTATTTCCAACTCCTCCAATTTTCTTCTGATTAATTTCGTTGCGGGTTCCAAGACAGTTTAAATTCTTCCTGGGACTTCCCGAGTGTCATAACTCGGTGTGTTCGTGGGTCACTGCTGTGGATCCTGGTGTACAGGAGTTAGTGGTGGGCGTGTGGGTGGGATTAGTCCCAAAAAAAAAAAAGTGAAACGGTGATGGCTCCACAAGGCATCACCGGCTATGGCTAACAAATATGATAATTAAATTTAGTTTAGGAGGATCTGGTGTTCGTCGTGCGTGTCGTACGACTCATATCTTATAATATAGTAGTTATCAACTAGGTGAGAGAAAAATAAAAAATAACATGATCTCGATTACGTTTATTATATTAATCCAACGTTAAATAGAAAATATAAATGCGTTGTGTCACAATACAGTTTCGTACCTTATAGAATGACAAAGTAAATATAAAACAGTTACTCTTATAATACTTTGTTAGCGCAAGAGAGCAATATATAAAGATAATATCAGTTGCCATGAATAGTTGCCTAGTATAGAATAGGACGGATAGAAGTTGGGAGTCTTTATTATTTATTTATGTTCCTTGCACGAAGAGTACATAAATGTTTGAGACTCATATTCACACTCACATTTCACATTATTAATAGATCCCGAAAGCAGTTTAGATTTTGCTAAAAAAGCCGATGTATAAAATATTTATTTGTGCATATTTCACAAATGACATTTTAAATTTGTAAATAGAACAAATTTTGAAGTAGTTTCTTCATATATTATATATTTAATATTTTGGTTGTAAGAGGCGCGGTTGACGTATACAATAATTGTCACGCTAACTTTCTCAACAATTGATAGCTACAACACATACAATTGACAATTCCCTAGTGAAAATAATATATCTATACTATACTATAACTATGTGTATGAAAATAATCTTAGTTTATTAAATATAAAATAAAACTCATACAATAGCTTTTGTATACATTTTAGGGGTTTTTATACTTATTAATTGAAGTCTAAGAAAAGATTCGAATAAACGAGGAGCGAATGTTTAAATCAGACTTATTTATCATGTACACAATAAAACATTTATGCAATACAACTGGTATAATAAAAATAGTTTTACAATACCGTATCCTTAGTGTCATGAAGATTTAATAAAATAATTTTAATGTAAATTCAGGTTAGGCGGGAACCTACTCGGATAAAATTTATTTCATAGGTTTAAATGAACTGTCGAGAGTTAAGATATTTTTAATCATTACATGCACTTATTAGTTGCAATATATTTAGTTCCTGTGCGTTTTATTTTATAGTTGTGCCAAAAAACGTAGTTACAGTTTTTTTTTTAAATTCCTCCGCTTAATGAATCAATTTCACTTTACTTCATTAATTTCATGTTAGTTTTTTGTTAATTCCTAAAATAAATTAAGTATCTTTGTGAGCAATTAATTTCATTTTGACGAGATTTCTTTTTCCGAATATTATAATTTTAAAAGTTAATATCACCGATAGCAATGTATTCGTTTGGTATAAATATTTCTGGTAAAGCACCGAAATACCATAAGTCGTGTTAAATATTACCAGTATCAACACCAACATGAATCATAACATATTACATATTATACAATTTTAAAAAGACTAACTACACACATTTAAGACACCTTTATTTTTTCATAATTCCATACATATTTAAAAATCACATACCAATTACTTAGTCATAAGTTTGAATACATATGTAGTTCTATAAAAAAGATTACAAAAAGAAATGTCAGAATTCATATTTCTGTTCTTATTATATATGAAAAATAAATCATCGCAATAATAAGTTATAGGTGTAAGAACACAAGTTAATTATTGCATAAAGTCTTATATACAACGAGATTCTATAACGAGAATAGCTTTTGAGGCACATTTACAAGGCACGCATATTTGTACACAAAAATAGCAATTTTATATTGTATACTTAAATGTATAACAGTTGTTATAACGTAATACTAAACCTACCTACAGAGTGCTTCATAGCGTCATTTGTATTTGTGAAACATTAACATCACAGATAAAATATGAATCTATTTAGATTATGTATAAATATGACTTCATCTGTGCCTCTACGGTGAAAGCTGGTGTAATCCAGCCCTAAAATCTATGTATGTGAGATCTTAGAAATTATTTCTCAGTAATTGCCACCATTCATATGGGTCATTTCATCGCCCCACTCCCCAGTAGGCACAGGCTGAGCATAACAACAACTCTTCCGTATTAGAAACGTTACATGAGACTGACGCGGCACACACACATAAAATATTAAAATTGCTTGAAGTAGATTGACAAATATGTGCGCGTAGAGTAATTCATCAATATTGAGCCAAGACAGCAACAGAAACAACCAAGCTGTTGTCATTATTAGGAATAATTGAAGGAACAAATTGAAACTGTGAACAAAAGTTAATTATATTTTTTTCAATAAATTATGAGTACTTTATTTGACAAATAATAGTGTAATAACTTACCATCCTTTGAGTTTGTGATGAATTCTGCCATATATGTTGATTCTTTTTATAATCTTCAATGTTGTGACGTAAAAGAACACATTAAATATGATTGTAAACGCCACCGGTGTGAAGAAAATAGCTATACCTAATAGGCCTGAAATAAGAAAAATGGATCTTTTTATCCATCTGCGGCAAATAGTCACTATATCAGCTATTGAATGTATTGCTCTGCCGCAGAGCCACCCTAATAAAAACCGATCAATTGTATCTTAGAATGATGAACGTCGAACGTACATAATGTACCTAGGGCCATTATCGCTGTACGTACACTAGGTACACTTAAATAATCAAAACCACACTTTAATAATGAAACATTATTCGTATATTATTTTCATAATTAAAACAGTTTATCTGTCCTGACTAAGTATTTTATTTAAGTGGCTTGACGTTCATCATTTTAAGATATAATTGATAGGCATTTATTAGGGTGGCTCTGCGGCAGAGCACGACACACATCTAAGGTGTTTCTAGAGGCCCAATCTATAAGTCTATTTCTTACGCATGTTTTAACAGTCTACTTCTCATATAAACACTTACAAAGATTATTGTTATATAAATACAGAAAATATATGTAAAAAAAAAGTATCATACCAATTGTTTCTTGTTCGACATCATCAATGAGGATTGATGATGAAAACTGGATCCTGGTCTTCCTATTAGGGTTGGTGCCAGTATCTAACAAGAAATGAGCGCTTATGGCCATTGCAGCCATAACCGCTACGCTAGACCACACCACACTTGAATAGTAACAGTATTTGCGCACGTCTGTCACGCGTAGAAATACGTTACGAGACCTGTTAATGACATTCATATTGCTATACGGGTAGAAGGTAATCTTAGTGTAATAGAAAAAAATACTTTAATAAAAATAGAAAAAAAATATAATCTGTTTTGTACAAAGAATCCAACTAAGAATTTTAGTGACTCTAACCATACACAAGGAATGCGTTCTATGTTTAACTAAAAGCTAAATCAATGGCGAGTCACATAAATTGTTATCGACTCTTTAGGTATTCCTTGTTTACACACCTTTGTATAGACAATTGTAAATTAAAGAGTAAATTGTTTTGTTGGTTTATTTATCATGTTAGATTATGCTCTTTCTTCTGTTTTAAGTTTTATATGATGTATTATTATTATTATTATTAAGCCTTTATTGCCAACATAGTTATTAAATAGTTACACGTATTCATTATTAAATAGTTCATTATTAAATAGTTCATTATTAAATAATTATTAAATAGTTCAGTGTTAACATGCAATTAAATTAATTAACATTATAATTGTATCAATACAATATTATTATTGTTATTATTATGCCGCAGTTATTGGGCGTCGGCGTGTCCTTGTGACACAAAGGCCTCCTCCAGCTCTTTCCATTCTGCTCTTGTTTGAGTTATTCTGGGCCACAGTGGACCCGCGTTCTTTTTTATCTCATCAGACCAACGTTTTCTTTGTCTTCCTCTTTTCCTTTTTGTTTGGAATCTAGGGGTCCATTCTGTTATATCTTTCGTCCATTTATTCCTATTCTCTCTCATCATGTGGCCTACCCATCTCCACTTAAGTGTTTTGGTTTTGACTACGACATCTTCGATTTTCGTAATTTGCCTTAAATCTACAGCTCTCTTTCTGTCTCTTTTTGTGTAACCCAGCATACTCCTCTCCATGGCTCTTTGACATGTGGTCAGTTTTTGGTTTTGTTTCTGTGTGTTAGCCCAGGTCTGGCATCCATAGGTGAGAATTGGTAATATGCATGTGTTGTACACTCTCCTTTTCATAGCAATAGTATATTGTTTACCCTTTAGCACTTCTTTGAGAGACCAAAACCTCTTCCATGCATTGGCTACCCTCCTTTCTATTTCTGAATCCATATGATTGTTGAAGGCAATAAGTTGGCCTAGATATATGTAGGAATTTACATATTCTATTTCTTCCTGATCTACTGAGATGCTTATTTGGGATCTATTTGTTAAAATTTTAGTCTTTGATTTGTTTATTGTTAGGCCCACCTTTCTGCTCTCACTTGACAAATCTTGGAGCATGTTTTTAAGGCTTTCCGGGTTATCTGTTATAAGTATAATGTCATCCGCAAATCTTAAATGATTCAAACGTGTTCCATTTATGTTAATCCCTATGCTGTCCCATTTCATCTTCTTCATGACTTCCTCTAGCACGGATGAAAAAAGTTTTGGCGAGAGTGGGTCTCCCTGCCTCACTCCCCTGTGTATTGGGAAAGTTTCCCCCGCTGTTTCCAATTTTATTCGTGCTTTGCTGTTGGAATATACATTTTTTATTACCCTTATATATTTATTTTCTATTCCTTGATTTTTCAGGGCTTCCCAAATGTACTGATGTTCCAGGCAATCGAAAGCTTTCTTAAAGTCCACAAATGCCATGTACAGTGGACAATCATATTCCTGACATTTTTCAACAAGCTGATTTATCACATGTATATGGTCTATTGTTGCGAATCCCGATCGAAATCCAGCTTGTTCTCTTGGCTGTTGTTCGTCAAGTTTTTTGGTGATGCGTTTTAGTATTATTTTAGAGAATACCTTGTATATGTTCGACATGAGACTTATTGGGCGGTAATTGCCTATTTCTGATCTATCTCCTTTCTTAAAGATGAGTATTATAGAGCTTATTGCCCATTGTGAAGGTATAGACTCCGTATTTAGGATAAGATTGAACAAGTTGGTTAGTCTTGATGTTGTCTCTGGCAATGTTGCTTTCATCATCTCGTTAGTTATATAATCAGGTCCGGGGGCTTTAAAATTTTTCTGGGTTTCAATCGCATGCTGGACTTCCCTTTCAAGAATCGGAGCGACATCTTCCGTTTCATCTTCAAGGTTTATGTTGCGATTTAAGGTGTTTCCGGTAGAGTAGAGCTTCCGGTAATAGTCTGTTGCTATCTTTAAAATTGGCTGTCTCCTTGTTTCTTCCTTGTTGTTTTTGCTTTTTATTTTCGGGATCCATAACGTCGCTTCTGTTAATTCTTTCAGTGCTTTATTAACACCACCAGTTTTAGTTATGTGCTTTTGGATACATTTGATTCTTTTATTTGACTTGTCTTGTTTTAAATTGCGACTTATTTCCTTACTTAGTTCAGTAATTTCCTTTAATGTTGTTTTAGTTCTCCTATTTTTAAGTAGTTCTTTCCTTTCTTGAATGAGATCTATTGTTTTTGAGCTTAGTGTATCTTCATTTATTTTTGTCTTGATTACTTTTCTGTACATATTGTTTGTAACTATGTCATAAATTTCTTGTGTTTTATCTTTTTCATTGGATGTCGTAATGTTCTGAGACGTTATATCGGCTGTCAAAACATTTTTCCCATGATAGAAGTGTTTCCGTTGTTTCTTTTGTTGTTTGTGAGCTAATGTTGCTCTAACCATGCGATGGTTACTATTAAAGTTGAAGTTATTTATTACGCTAACATCTTGAAAATAATTGGGTCGATTACTCGTTATGAAGTCTATTTCATTACGGTAGGTCCCATCGGGCGATATCCAGGTCCACTTCTTGGCATGCCTTTTCTTGAAAACTCCATTTAATATGGTTAAATTATTCTCCAGGGCCATATTTACAAGTCTTTTCCCGTTCTTGCTTCTTTTTCCTATGCCATATTTTCCTACTAGTGACTCTTCACCATGCTGCTGTTTACCTATTTTGCCATTGAAGTCTCCCATGACAATAATGTTCTTATGGGCAGTCTCTAGTGTAGTTGAAAGTTGGTAGTAGAAATCGTCTTTTATTGATTCGTCCGCTGCTTCTGTTGGCGCATATATTTGTACTATAGTCCACTTGTTTTTGTAGCCATGAAGCTGTATATTCAATAAAGCTATTCTTTCAGATATGCCCCTAAACTCCAAGATTTGTTTCTTTAAATGTTTCTTCACCATAAATCCAACCCCATACTGACCCCTTGTTTCACCTATATAGTACAGAATATAGTCGTCATGTTCTTCAATGTGGTTTCCTATTCGTCTTACTTCGCTAATACCGAGAATATCCCATTTGATTTTACTCAAAGCTATTTCTAGCTCGAGGAGTTTTTCTGTTGTCCTTAATGAAAGTGTATTTAGGGTGGCTATGTAAAAATTATTTAGTTTTTCTTTTGGTTTTTCATTTGCTTTTTCATTTGCTGAAGGGTAGCGGTCTTCTTTCCCCACGGTGACCAACCGGCTTGGGGTGCATTTTTTAGTTGGTGTATATGTAGTTTTGGTATTTGTTATTCTGGTTTGGTTCCGGGTGCCGGTGGTCCTTATAGGTTTTTTGGATCCTCTGACAGTGAGGCAGATCTGCTTCGTTCCATGTAGGTAAGTAAGTTGGGTTTAAGGATTTCTTTTCCCTTAGAGGATGTAGTAGCTGGGTTGCCTCTTAAGTCTATTTTCTTCTGAGATGATGAATTGGGTGAGTCGTGACCTTCCCTTTTCCTTTTGTCTCTGTTTACTCCCGTTGGTCTCTTTATTATTATTTTGTCATGTTTTAAAAAGGCTATATTTCCTTTCTTTCTTTCTTCTTCCACTTGTGCTTGTAGTTGCTTCCGCTTTTCTAACATTTCTTTGGAGTAATCTTCTTTTACATATATACCTGGTGGCAGCTTTGACTTGTTTTTCAAAATCAAGTGTTTTTTCCATAGAGATGTGAGGGAGACTACGACAGGGCGGTTTTTAACGTTTTTATCCTTGCCAATTCTATATATGTTGCTAATTTCCGGGCTGTTTAGATGGGTGCCTGACTCTAAAATTGTGTCCTTGACGTGGTCTGCAAGTTCCGCTTCTGATTTTTCAACATCCTCAATGCCAAAAAAGACCAGGTTGTATTTTCTTTTTTCTCTTTCCATCGCCTTAAGTTTCTGCTCCAATGTAGAAATTTTTTCTTTGAGCATAGTGTTTTCCTCTGTTATTATTTTTAATCTCTCATCTAATGCTTCCATAACATTCTGCGTCACCGACACTGTTATGAGTTTGGTTTGCTGGTTTAACTTCTCATCCAGTTTTAACAATAATAATTCCATACTTTTGTTCATTTTTGGTTTATTTACTGACAACACTGGTAGAATAGTAGTTTAGATTATTGTGACTTGCAGCACTCACTATATACTTCAGTGTCAAAATGACGTTGCTTTCTTCAAACTGATTTGTTGGTTATGTTGGTGGCACTGTTATGACTTTCACTTTTAGGTTATATTGTTGGATTTTCTATTGCACTTTTTACTTCAAGAATATTGTTCCACGCTTTGTTCACTTGCTTATTTCGTTTTCTGTTGTCTATTTTGGTAGATTTTGTATTGTGGCACTATTATTTCACATCTATTACACTAGTATTAGTTAATATTTGCGGAGGACTTTGACGTACGTGTTTATGCTACGAACACCGGAACCGGACATCTTTATATGATGTATACAGATATCTTAATAGTATATTATATGTATTTACTTACTTAAATGTCTTCCACACATAAAATCCCAAACTGTTTAACCAAAAGAAAGCAGCTAATAGGCTGACATACAATATTATATCTGAAAAATAAATTGTTATTCTTTCTAAGGATCATAAGATTTATATAAAGCAAAGCATATTAAATCAGTGGTACTAGTTTGTATATTTTTTAAGTAACTCATATAAAATATAAAATAAACTGTAAGTAATTTATATTAATTTGCTTAAATACTTATCTCTGGAGTTATCAATCAGAATCAATAAATTATTTGTGAATTGAATAGTGTTCAATATGAAAAAGAATAAGTAACATCACGCCATAAAGTTGGTAACTGTAGGGAATGGCAAGTGTATTGATAACTAATGTTAGTGTTACAATAGGGTATAAGGTCACCTACCAGTGATCATGAAGCTGACATGATTACTAAACTCAGTGAATATTCTTACTAAATCAGCTGCCTGGCTCACAATCAAACACACATTTATTGTAGTTATAATGTTTCCAGCCAAGTCCCTTAGTGTTGGTAATACAAAGTATATTACAGCCACTAGCAAGAATAATAACATTGATATTGCATGAAATATTGGATTTAGAACCTTTTTCATGAGAAAATTCATATCTTTCCAGTTGATTTTTACTTCCGGCACACATACTAAGGCATATGATCCAGTTATAGTAGAGTTTGTCAAAAGTACCTGAAAATAATGTTTATTTTATGGGTTATTTACTATAATTTCTTATCTCTGTTATAAATACAAAGGTAATATGAATTAATGTAAAGTAAATTGTTATTTTTTTTTATTTTACAACTACTGTTTCTATAAAAATGATTGTTAAGTCTTTTAATAATATAATAGTAAACAATATTATTTAAATAAGTTATTCAAAGTATAGAGCCTATTGTGTTTTTTGCAAACTAAACTTGAGTCACTCGATGACTCATTGAGTTTTAAAGAAGTAGAATGTGAAAGGTACTTTTTAGATAACACAGACAATGAGTGACAATGAACAGTTTGTAAGCATTTTACAATAATTGTTTTATATGACTTTATTTTACATGATAACCTTTATGTAAATGGAGCAGACAGCGCATGATGTAAGTATGCTATGTGTGTCACATTCCCCCCTCCTCCCCCTCTGTCTGTACCGAACTCCCCCTCTTCGCCACATTTTCCTCATCCCTTCGCATGACATGTCCATACCAAGATATATAAATTTGTTCCTTTAGTGTTAAGGGGATATTGGGGTCACAAATTGTTACCGTTACCTGCCGCCACTATATCCATCCCGTATTGATTCGATGCTGTACAGTTTGATCAATATTACCATCACATTGTATTGAGCCTCGTAATGAGCCGAGGTACTTGAAATTGGAGCAGACTGTTACCACTATCCCATCCAGCGAAATAGTTTGAGGAATGGAGAGATGCAGATGTACTCAGTTTTGGTTCTGCTGATTTTCAAGCCAACATTCTCCAGCCTTTGTTGCCATTTTTCCAGTCTGCTCTGGACCTCATCCCCGTCTTCAACGACCGTCTACACGAGTGCTAGACTCTTTGTACATAGCACGAATCAATTCTACATACTTAACAGGCACTCTTTCTTCTTTCAAAGTTTAAAAAAGTTTAAAATGCCAAAATGCCTTTTCGAGGTCCACCTTATGCAAGTTTTTTTTGTGTGCACTTGTATTTCTCACATAGTTGGCGCATTGTAAATATAGCATCTGTTGTACCGCGTCCTGGCATAAACCCAAATTGACTTCCGGTCAATGGTACTGTATGGCGCAGCGGTGTGGGAAGCGGCTCTGAGCGCCCAAAATAGAGCACGCCTTTGGCGTCCTCAGAGGGTATTGGCGGTTAGAGCCATACGGTTTCCGCACCGTGTCGACGGAGGCAGTGTGCGCGTTGGCCCAGGAACTACCCCGTGGGATTTGGAGGCGGAAGTGCTCGCCGAAGTATATCGGCGGACGACTGTGGAAGTACGCGAGTGGCGCAAAGCCGCTCGTCGAGCCGACGGTGCCTCGTTGCTGGTTTTGCCGAAGTGGAGGCGCTCCAGCCGGTCATCGTCGAATGGGCAGGGTAGCAGCACGGGACCCTTTCCTTCCGACTAATGCAGGTCCTTTCCGAGCACGGCTGCTTCGAGAGGTACCTGCGCTCGGTCGCTAGGAGTGAACTGAGGCCCGCCTGTCACCACTGCGACTGCAGTTAGGACTCGGCACAGCACACGTTGGTAGTTTGCCTGGCTTGGGCGTCGCAGCGTCGGGTCCTCACTGCAGTCATCGGGGGAGACCTTTCTCTACCGGCCGTATGACGGCCGGTAGAGATGATAGTTGTTTTACCGCGGCCAAGGCGGCTGAGAGGGCCCGGGAGGATATTCTCCACTCGGACTCAATTCGCCGCCGACGAACCGGGCCGCGCAGGCCCGCTTACTAGCGCCTCATACCGCCCTGAGTGTAGCCGCGGGTGGACGGGACGTATTTTGTATTGAGCTTGAGCACTGGCTACCACTACCGTTTTTTGGCTTTTTCTTCCACTCTTTATATTCATGCATTTTGACTTCTTTCATTCTCTCATACTCCATTCCATTTAAAAAAAAACTGGAGTAGGGACTCACCATCAGTGTTTCTACTTCCAAACCCCGTTCCTTAGTCTTTAATGTGGAGTGGATTTGATGGATTTTAATGGGCATGTGGGAACAACGAATGAGGATTTCATTCGTTGTTCCCACATGCCCATTAAAATCCACCTCACAAAAGTTCTTCACTTTAAGGGATACCTATCATAACCATGTCAAAATCGTCCCAAAAGTTTTTTTTACTTCATCCTTGCAACTAGCTTGAGGTGCATACACGCTAACAATATTCATAATCACGCTCTCCCATACTAATTTTACTACTATTATTCTATTCGTTTACTCTCTTTACATCCGTCACTCACCCACTCCATTTCTCTTCCCATCACTTCCACAATAATTTTGTTTCTTGCATGCCACGTTTATTCTTCTTCTTTTGAACACATCTGCTAGCTCTCTCGCTCTTCCAGTCATAGTCCCAACATTCCACCTTGCATACCTCAACCTCTCGGGCTTGCTTCTTACGTTGCACCCGCCTCGGGTGATGTAACAATTCTTGTTCAGTTATTCGCGTAGCCGGGTGCTGCTGCCGTGCGTCTCCTCTCACTCACTATGCACTGACACTATGACTGTTCCTGGGGCGTAACCCGTACCCGTACTTCATCTCATATTCATACTGCAGAAATGTTTTGGCTAATAGTATGTATCAATATCCAGCGGTTGAAGAGGCCACCAGGACAAGTACAGCATGGACTGTATATAACAAACAGTAACGAAAGACAAACAGTCCAAGAATCCCTTAATCGCCTTTTACAACACCCACCGGATGAGATGGGTTGGCCTTATTCTATTTGCCAAGAAAAAAATCACCACAATTATTTTTTAACTAATAGATAATCTCAGTTAATAATATATTCAGTTAATACATAATGTGTTTAACTGTCAACTTTGTTTTAGAAATAAATCTCTTCAATTAACTAGTTTGTAAATGTTCAACTAATGGCCTATATAAGGTAGACAAACAGTAGACTAACACAATTAGCTTAATAATCTTCATTTTATCAAACATAAAATAAGTATGGTGTTTCTGATGATGGGACTCAGAGTAAATTAAATATAAACTAACCTTATCCATGCAATATTTATTCTGATTATGTATGTATGAAGTTGGCTCTTTAACATCTGGTATATCAATGTTGTCGTGCAAACTAAATGTACTTATCACTGGGTCTTCTTTAATGTTGTCCGAACTATGTTCATGGTTGATAAGATGCAGTAGATGTCCATTAGACAATAAGTTAAGTCTGGAACATAATAATATATTTTAAACTGTACTTACATTAAAACTGTTTTATTTTTTTATATTTTTAAGACAACTCCCGCACTAGCAATATGTCCTGTGTCGCTGGGGACTTTACAAACATACATTAAACAGACACAAAGAACACCCAGACTCAGAACAACAATTTGTAAATTACACAAAGTTTTGTCCCATGTGGGGATCAGACCCACTAGTAGAAAATGATGAGGTGACCGCTTAAGCCACTACACCATCCGTGCAGTCAAGTTCGTGTTGCAACAGTAAATTAAATTTAAAAAAAAACATACTCATCTTCAGATTTCTCTATATCGAATATAGGTCTCTGTTGTGTAGTTTCACAGTCGGGAAAACCAGGTACAAAATTATAGTATTTCACATTGACTTTGTTACCATCTTCAGTCTTAAATTCTGGTATCCATGCAGCTAAAATTAGATTAAAAAAAAAATACACTACCTGTGTAGAGTATTCTAATTTTGAATAATGAATATAAAATTACAACTTTAAAAAGTAGGTCTGAAACTACTAGATATGTAAAAGACATCCATAGTAATGTATTTACTTACTTTGATTATATTGTTTGAGAAGTCTACATACTCCGTCAACAATAAGTTCATCTTCAAAGCAACATTTGTTTATTTTTACTGCGTACTGTTTCTCGGAAGCTTCATTGAGATCAGTCTCACCGACTTCCGCGTGCAGTACACGAGTTGAACACAACAATGAGAATATTAAGAGTACGGCATACATCTTATTTGAGAACTTTTAGTACTTCTCATTACAATCTATGCACTTGTTAATATTATATTCGATTCAATTCCTGTTAGACTAGGATACATATGTTATTGCTTACATTCTAGGAAATAACTGCTTACAATAATATTGTAAACATGCAATATTACATTTATTGTTTCCAAAAATAAAAGATTTTCACCTCATCTATGTGTTGTATGAATATACTAGACGTTTATTTTACTCGTTCATTCCGCTTGCGGCAAAGTTTGACGTTTGGGTTGCGTTTTTTATGGTATCAAGGGGTAGATCTGGCACTATGTCTTTTGAGTAGTCTCGTGTTTTGCGTTTAAATCAGGGATTAGTAAACTATTTAGAGCTAGAGACCCCTTTTCTAAAATGAACTGATACCTCAGACAATTATTGCCAAAATACTACACTCTTATCAAATTGTTGAGTTTTTTTAAAGTAGAATAATACTTCCTACTAAAATATTCATAATCAGTCTTCATTTGTGTCGACCATTTTGGGGATCCCTGGTTTAAATGATACTTTTGAATGTGTGTATAAAGCATTTGTTCCATGTCAAAAGGGCGGTAACACGAAACAGTAACAACGTGTACGTGACTAACATTGCTTGCATAATACGGGCCATTATTGGTTTAACCGTTTTAGATCTCGAAATTTTGAGTTAAAGAACTAGCCTCGCGGCCTGCTGGTAAGAATAGCCAATAAGGCGATAATGGAAGCGGATTCAACTACGGCTGAACTTGCTGCGGGCTTTGGATTTAATGTCAAAATAACATTGAAGGACTTGCGTCAAATAGGAAAGATAAAAAAGCTTAGTTCAAGTGGATGCCACTCGAACTAAGCGACCATCAGCAAGATTTACGCGTCGAAGCATGCATAGCAATATTGAATCAAACTGTTTTATTTATTTATTTATGACTTTATGCACAAATGTGTGCATCGGCGGACTTAATGCCTAAGGCATTCTCTGCCAGTCGACCGATTGGGCGATGCAGAGAAAGAGTGAGGTAGGTGCATTTATGGGGATAAATGATAGAGTTCTTATACAGTACTATTTGTACTTCGAATAGACGTATACAGGCAATAATATATTATTATATTTATTGTATATATACCAGGATTAACACATTTACATATATATACATACGTACACATATACCTATATACATTCATATACACATACACACACATAGATACAATTATAAAAATATTATAACTGTGGGTGATGAATTAAGAGCCCGTTGTTTCTGCCAACTCACTCAGCAACAGCTCCTTTACCTTCATCTTGAAGGAGTAACAGTTTGTAACCATCCTGACTTCGATAGGAAGCGCATTCCACAGGAGGATAGACTGAACAGAGAACGAAGAAACAACAAACCCGGTAAGAAGACAGACAACTGGTGGCTACAATGCTCCGAAATCGTTTTCAAACTGCTGTTGGTCTAAAAACTCACTTTATTCGCTTTGGAGGTGGCAATTTAAGCGCTCAAACAGTACGCCCCAAACTTGAACGGGGACATCGAATTGCAAGACAGAGATACGTGCGCGAGCACCTAAACTGGACACTAGACGATTGGTCTAGGGTAATGTTCACGGACGAGTCTAAATTCATGCTTTATACCTAAGCATGATGGTAGGCAGTTGGTGTACACAAGTCCAGGGGAGCGCTTCCATCAAGCGTGTGTGGAGGAAAAAGTGGCGTACGGTGGAGGCTCCGTACAAGTTTGGACTGGGATTTCTACTGAGGCCCGCACCGAACTGGTACTCATTCAAAATGGAACTCTAAATGCAGAGAGGTACGTGGAAGAGATCCTCAAAGAACACGTAGGTCCTTTCATGGCCAGGATGGACCGGCATGGCATATTAATGCATGATAATGCATTAATATGCCATGCCGCCAGAAAGGCGTCCCCATACCGCCAGAATTGTACATGACTACCTTGAAGAGGTCGGTATCGAACTCATGCAGTGGCCAGCGCGAAGCCTGGACTTAAACCCCATCGAGCACGCCTGGGACGAGCTTCAGAGATGCGTGAAAGGTCGAAACCCCCCACCAATCACGCTTCCCGAGCTCACACAAGCACTGGTGGAGGAATGGGAAGGTATTCCTCAGCACCGGCTGCGAAATTTGGTGTACAGCATGCCTAATCGCCTGGAAGCTGTCAGAAGAGCTCGTGGAGGCAATACAAAGTATTAAATGAAGAAAGTGATGAAAAACAGCAAAAAAACAATCATAAAAAAATGTAATCTTAAGAAAAATATGACTACTTTAGTTTTTTTTTTATTTATAGATAAGTTAAGAGTTAGAGAGTTTAGATTTAAGTTTTATTTTATTTTTTATCTGTATAATTAAATTCTCAATTGAATAGTCTTCGTTTCATTAAGATGGCATACGTAGTTCGGGAGATATTCGGGTTTATGTGACTGACCCGTTATTTTTGGAACCGAGTTTATTATGGTTCTTGCATAATAGTTGAATTTGTGAAGTTAAATAAGTAGGAGGGGATGGGGAATTGAGGATAGTATGCAAAGTTACTGCGATGTGTATCCTGTACGACAACCGTAAGCGTTCTTCTCAGTAGGTAGACCCGGGTTCAGCACCTAATCAGTGCTCTTAAAAAAGATTACCCATAGGAAGATGATAGTGACTGTCTGGTAGACCAGTGCCGGACTTGTCCATTACAGATTCTTATTGAATGGCACAACAGTAACGGCAGATGTCTATTGCCAAGAATTGCGACGACTGGTTAATCGCTCTTCCCCATTGCTTCTCCACGACAACGCGCGACATACACTTCACGACAGACCATCGCAAAGCTACAAAAGTAAGAGCTGAAAGCTCTCCGTTACCCACCCTTTTCACTGGACCTCACCGCAACAGATTTCTACTTAATTCAAAATTTTGAATTTTTTGGGCCCGTACTTTCATTAATGAAGTGATGAAAAAGAAACCAAAACTTTTAATTTCAAAATTTTCATACAAATCTCTAACTTCATAGGTATATGTATATATATCGTTTATCACCAACAATAGCAAGCAACAACAATTATTACTTCACACGCATATAGTCAAAACTTTATCCAGCATAAATTTTTATTCTTAAACTTGTTAATAAAATCTCTAAATTTACTTTCTTCTAAGAATCGAAAACCTACATTCGTTGTTTACTATGGAATTTTCGTCTTGGGTTACATGTTTATAATGCTGACCGCCTTACTTCTCGTAATTTTTTTAAATCAGAAAAATGAAAAATTATATTATAAACAATACACATAAACATTTACATGGGTTCGAGTTTTTTTCATTCATTCTACCTATGTACACTGTGCAATGAAAAGTGACAAATGTTCAAGATTCGTGTTCCACTGTTGTATTACACTCATAAAATACTGTACTCCGACACATAACTTGATGATGATAGCCATGAGAGGTGTCATAGAGATATCTCTATTAATGGGTAGGGTATTATTGATTTCATTCAATCCGATATGTTTCATGTTAGAAATATCTAAGATAAAAGTACGAACATATACATATGCATTAACGCACCTATTTTAAAAATTTGTGGACTGTTAAATTAGCTGATACCAACTTTTTTGTAGTAATAAGTAAAAAGAATCTAGACATAAGCTTTTTTAAGAAAAAAATAAAAGACGAATATAATAAAATTATTCTTCATAGAATTTAATTAATTTTTCAGTACTAATTATATGTGTATGCCAGCATGCAATTTCAAAACAAAATATGAAAATAGACATAATAACAATTCATATTAATAACTAATAATTAACCTATATAATTATTAGTATTTACAAATGGTAAATTTAATAGTATAAAACATTAACCGGTACTGATAAATGCTTAACTGAATTAGGTACATGTTTTATAATAACATTAAAATATTGTACCCTATGCATATATATACAAATAAAACAAATTATTGTATATGTTACATGATTTTTTACATTGTTAATAATAATCTGCGTAATAAGGTGTTATTACGCAACACACTAGAAGTTGATAATACAGTTGATGAAAAGAGATGTAAATAAATCATAATATACGCTTACAATTGCAATTTCTTAAAACCTTTAAACAAGTTACTTATAAATAAAAAAGAAATGAACTGTTGACTAGTTATGATTTTGAAGATGTAATAAAACAAGTATATGTACTACACAAAAAAGCCTCATGAAAACAGATGAGTGGTTATGTACAGAATGTGTGACACGGACAAGAACCATAGAAAACTAATTTTTTAGCATAGTCGGGTGACATTAGGTTAAAAAACCGTTTCTAGAGCCTAATCGGGTAACAAAAATGCTTAAAAAGGAATGTTATTTCGAATAAAAAAGAGAGTATTACTACCTCCTAAATAAATCTTTTTTTATGTACCATTAACAATATTTACACATTTTTTTCCTTGTAAAATAATAAAACATAGGTACATAGTTGTACCTATGTTTTTTCTTACCTAGAACCTACCTAAATTTATGAAAATGCCATTGTAGTTTACCTTATATTATTAAAACATACTCCCTAATGTAGTCGGACTTCCACTGTGTCATCAGGTAATATGTGCTCGTCATCTGAATCATCGTGAGGACTGAGCTTATCAGCCAGCGGTTTGGTAACCACTAGACAACAGTTCTCACCTACTAAACCTCTAATAGCGCGTCTTCTTAAAATTACTAGCAGGAAAAATATAACCACTCCTTGTAAACAGTTGAAGATATCCATGATTTTCCTGAAACCGAAATATATATATTTACGAGTATATCAATTGAAATCTATTAGTTATCATTATTCCTTTCTAATATTTTATAGAATCTTAAATACATTTCAATAATTTAATATTGAGTAACTTTAAAAATATTTTATATTCAATTACATAGGTAATTATGTTTACGGGAATTAGTAACATACTTTTGAAATACCTGACATTGCGGCCAGGTTAGGCGTAGTCACAAACTGACACGCTGGAGCCAGCGCGTTAATGCCCGTAAACATAAATATCCATTCTAATATTATAAATGCGAAAGTGTGTCTATCTGTCTGTTACCTCTTTACGTTTAAACCGCTAAACCGATTTAGTTGAAATTTGGTATAGCGATAGTTCGAGTCCTGGGAAAGGACATAGGATAGTTTATATCCCAGAAATCTTCCACTTGAGGGTGGAAGATTGTATGGGAAATCAATAACCGCTGAACCGATTTTATTGGAATTTGGTAAGGAGAGACTGATTATTGAGGAAAGACATGACCTCCTATATTTTGTCCATTGCTTGAAAATCTTAATAGATAATTACTAGTAAAGTTTTGTCTCAATACTTTTACTATTCGTTCATTTTATAAAGGTAGCGGTTACTTACCAAATGATGTGGGCTTCGCCATGGGCAAAACTGGCGATTTCAAATATCCATGAAATTCCCATTACCAGAAAAAGCTTTAGAGAGAGAAGAAACCTGAAAATAAAATAATTCTAAACATAAACATGATTATAGACAAATTATTCAGATTTAATTTGTTTTATTTTTATAAAATTATTACTTTATTTTTGGAAAAGAAGGACTGAACTAAAGGTATCATTAGCTCGTCACAAGCTAATACCTAAGAAGTTTGCAAAAAATATTGAAAAATAAAACAAAGGCAATTTCCATACGCTTAATCAGACAGAAATAGATACGTACCTGTGTTTGAGATTATCAAGGTTATTTAATTGAAATTTCCTAGTCTCTCGAAGTAAGTTGTACGAAGAAAGGCCAAATAAAATTATGTTGGCTGTGATAAGAACTGCGATAGGGCCATAGAAGAAGATCCAAGTTTCACTACGACCTAAAAATGAAATATAAATTTAAAAGAAAGCTTATAATAGGATGATTTAATTATTTGTGTTAATATAATTACCGCTGAACCAACAGCTGTTACTGCCGAACCCAGGCTTCCAGTGATCGCCTTCAACTACGTTAGTAATAACTGTTACCGTAAGGAATAAAAGTGTCAATCCCCAAGCGTAACAACTATAAATTAAGTATTGCTTCCGTTCGGTATTTTTCATGTGGGTGGCATCCCTGGAACAAGAAAAAAAATTATGATCGGTTGAGTAGTTAAGCTACACTAGCTATGAGTTAAGCTACAGTTAAACGTAACTATTTTTAATGCTAATAACTTTTAAATCATTTATACCTCTCTTAAAAGGGTGTTACTTATATACAGAATCCACAAGATTGGATGCGAAATGCATTGCAATGCATGCTCCTCTTGTGTGCATGTCATGCAAACGTAAGAATTAATATCTAAGTAGGATGCTTTATAAAATTAACACTTACAGAACTGTGCGAAATACGTTAATGCTAATAACATTCATCCAAAAGAAAGTTGCCATCATCCAAGTATAAACGGTGAACCCTGAAAATATATGATTGTATTTTAAATATTTTTAAAGTAAAAAAAATGAGTTGTAAGCGTCCACGTGAGCCTGGATGTCGCAAACATTGTACGTTGAAAACACCCAAACTCCGAAACTAATATTTGCAGATCAAACAAACAACATCCCAATTGAACTTTTCAAAGAAGATAAACTTATTACCTGTAATAGTACACATCTCGCCTCTGAAACCAGGGCTTAATTGCAGTATTCCCAAGGAAAGGAACCCTAAGGCCATGCTGATACACATACACATGTAGCACTTGCCCTGTAAGTCCCTGTAAAAAATGCATTTATTTGTTAAAAAAATATATTTTTTATTTATACTATTTTGGAAACAAAAGTTTACGTTTAGAAGGACGCTCAGTTTTCAGGATAAAGCTACTGACTCTTGTGGCATAGTTTGGTTTATTGAAGTTGAATAAATATGTCAAAGTCACTATTGCTTTTATTATTGGTGATACTTATGAATGCCTCTATTTTTTTAACCCTTATTTAACACGTTCGTTGACACGAACGTGTTAAATAAGGGTTAAACAGCCTTTTTACAAAAGCATTCCCTAAGATTTGCATCAGCTTAGCTTTCAAAGGCATGCTGTTGAGTTACTCTAGGTTAGAGTTAAATTCAGTTTTTAAACTAAAATAGTGGAATTTCTAATACTACGCCACTACACATTCCGTGATAAAATCTGAAATTTGGTAATGAATCAATATGTATTTTTAAGAAAATGTTCGAAATAAACGCTTGGTATTACAAATATTTAAAATGAACTGTTTGCCCTTTAAGCTTAGCACTTATCTTTTGCGAATGCGTAATGTTTAAAATATTAGCTTATCTTCATCACATTGTTTACTCGAAACCTCCCCCTATTGATATATCTGAATGTATTACTTTTTATTCTATTGAAAGTTTTTAAGTTGTCTAAAATTAAGCGGCAAGTGTATCCACATCGTGATTTAAAATTTCACAAACAAATAAATAAAGTATAATTTCTTAAATATATAAACTGTTTTTTTTAACTTTTTCTTCAAATACGTCTATCTAAAACGGATAGTGAATAAACTGTAACGGAATGAGGATGAAGTTTGAGGATGAGGACGAACGGAAATGAGGTTTTAAAGATACCTATCAAAAGTAGTAAAGCTTTTACCTTAGTTGTGGCAAGTAAGCATATAAGCCGGTGGTGGCGACGAGAAAGAATACAGAGATAAGAGTTAAGATGCCACTAGTTTCTATATCATTGGTTTTCGTTATCTGTTCGAAACACACCACTGCCACCGCTACCGTCCCTTGACTCGGGTCACTGGCGTTGTTATACATATTGCCAAGACAGTATCTGAAAAATAATAATTCTTTAGTTAATCTTAATTTTTTTTCAAATGTATTAAATGCGAATTATGCTTATCTACCCATTTATGTACAACACATATCTGTTCATTTAATAAGTGACGTCTTAGTAGGTGCCTAAATTGAAAATTACTCTTTTTTAACTTGGGTGTTAGTAAAATTTAATAAATTAATATGTCTACAAATGAAAAAATGCAGAGATCTTCACGGCGATTTAAAATGCAGTGCCGCGGGTGGTAATAAAACATGCACAGTTTTACTTTTTCTTTTCTATGCAATTTGCAAATCGTATAGTACGTTTAATAACTAAACATACTCATTAGGATCTTCGACGAAAATGAAGCCTGGTGAATCTTTCGTCGAAACTTTGTCACCATTGAGGATAACGTCCCGGAGTACCATCCGTCCATTCGAGCAGTTCATTTTTGTCATTTTTTCATTGTTGATTCCGCAAAGGCCGCCCGTCTTCAGTACTTGATTGTTCCGACAACATGGTTGCGCTGATAGAGCAATTCCGCATACAGCCAACAATAATAAAACCGTTTCCTGAAAAGAAAGTGTCTATTATTATTTTATGTAATTAGGTATCACTTTTATGTAAATAATATAAACAACAAACGAACTATCTTCACTCGTTTATTACTTTTAGTATATGCTAACAATACTTTGGTATCTATGAAACTCATAACTAGTTTTAGATTAGAAACTTAGATTACAAAACCTTCGAGACAAAAGCGATGCCAGTAAAGACCCTTATTGTCCCTATCATGAATTATGGCGATGTATGCAGCGTATCACGGTATGGTAGGATCAATCAAGATTTGGCATTATATTTTGGGGTAACTCAACGAATAGAGAAATTAAATCTCAATAAGGTGTAATAAGAGTGATATTTGGACTACAAACACTTGATAGATGTAGACAATTTTTTAAAGACAACAGTATCTTGACTGTTCCGTCACTTTATATATTTCCGTCAGTCCCGTCACCGAACCGAAACCGTCAGTCAGTCAAACAGTCTAATCCTAACATATTTAAACGTCTTCAAAACAAAACGAAACCGAACAGACGAGATAATGATGGGTTATGCATGCAAAGGGTTCAAACTGCGCTAATGAACAAGAGTATTTTTTGCATGGCACCTAGGATTTAGAACAGAATACCTGGGGCCATAAGAGAACTCTATCTACATTTATTTGAAGTTCACTTTACACGATTGATGAGTTTTTGAACGACCGTGATAATAATGTACTTTGACAGTAACATTAACTTAATACCTTTATTTGACCACTTAATTATTGTTATTATAATTTCCGGATATTTGACCAAAAAATCTGATTGCTATTAATTTATGTATTGCATGTTCTGTAGGTATTAGCTTCTGACGAAAAGTTTTGCACGCCTACCAGGCAGGATATGACGAACTTAAAACCATTGTTAATACGAGTATGAATTGTCCCACCCTGTACTCATATTCATACAAATAAATGATTACTATTATTGTTATGATATTACGACCTGAATGCAGATCTCCTCAATAAATGTGACCGCCTTCTGAATAACTGCAGTCGATTCGACTTTAACCTTCGCAAATAACAACGCGCGAGCTTATACTTCCCGACAGACCACCGCAAAGCTACAAGAATAACACCAGCTTCGTCACGCACCGTGCTCACAGGACCTTGCCCCAACAGATTACTATTGTTTTCAAAATTTAGTTTTTTTTAAGGTGATAACAAATTCAACACCCGAGAGGTAGTACCTACAAACTCGCTCACTTCATAGCCTCCCGTAAAGTAAAGGGATAAACCAACTGCCATCATTACAAATCTCCAGCTTCGTAGTTAAAGACTTAATATTATAAATACGCTTTCATGCCTAAACCACTAAACCGATTTTAAAACGTCTTTCACCAATGCAAAGCTACATTATCAGCGAATAACAACTACTTTTTGCCGTTATGATCCACATACACACGGGTGGAGCCGCCGGCAAATACTATATATACTAAATACTACATATTTAATTTTACAGCAATTTTAAATATAATATTTTTTCTTTTTCATAAATATTTTTTATTCATTTTTTCGTGCCGATTTCTGATTGAAAATGGTTAGAAAAGTGCAAGTTTTTCTGAGGAATCTATTCGTTTTTTTTTTTTATTTTTTTTTAACGCGTAATACGGCATTTGAACGGAATGTGAGACTTGTCATGCGGCTTACCGACAACAATTAATTAGCGTATGGATGCAAATTAAATAGCTCTATAAATTTTATGACAGTAAAAATAATCTGTTGATAAACAAGTTATCTCTAAGGGTTTGTTCATGAAAAAACTTTAATACGTTTTGTATTTATTCGTCCCATGGGTCATTGAGTAATTTAAGCTACGATGCGAATGGAACAACAAGTTGATAATACGCATTTATCAAGTTTGACATCGAGCCGGGCCATTGACAGTTTACACCGAAGTCCGGTCGTATAGAAAGAACAATGAGGCTAGCGTTCGTTGACCTCATCTAAGAATTTTATGGTTTCATAGTTTATAGGCAAAAGTCATTTTTTGTCAAGACGTAAGATTATTCGTGTGTATAATATATGTTATAACTTTTTACTGCTAAAAGCAGTAGGGCATTTTCATAAAAATGTACTTACACCTTGAAAAATAACTTTATTTTGAAAGTATTACTTTTAATGTTGTATTTGGTCTCAATTGAAAGTATATTTTTTTTATTGTATGTATATTATTTCAAACATGTTGTTTAAAATGGAGTTATTATGAAAAATACTAAATATGATTGAAAGTGCTTAAAATTTAAGTCAGTTTTGTGACTATATTCAAAGGTTGAAAAACAATATAGAATTAAAGATTTTGTCAAAAGTTTTCAATTAAATACATAACAAATGATCATTATTCCTTAAAAGACAAATTTTGCATCCAATTTTAGTAAACAAGGGTGTTAAAATAAAATAAAATCATCAGTTGTGTGACTTTGGGTCCCTATTCCCTGCTAATCATTTAAACTACTGGATATATATGGCATGTGAGAATAAAAAACTATTGTAATTAGAAGAATTAACACATTATTATTGAGGCAAAAATGTTTTACTTATGTTTAAACAATAATGTTAGAAACAAAAAATATATCTTTGCTAAAAATAATAAAGGACAGTCACGCAACTGAACACTTAGGATGCGTTTACATGGTGCGAGAAATATTAAGAAAGTATAAAGTTTGACCTGATCTATAAATCTAAAATAGTTACATATTTTCAACATATTAATAACTAGCTTTTGTCAACGGCTTTGCTCGCGTTAAAATTAATGAGGCCCCATTTCCCCTCGTGTATAATATGTACATACGAGTATGTACTAATACTTTGCCACGTACCACTTATACGAGTAAGAACACACAATTAAGAACAATGGCAAATAATATTTTAAAGTAGTTTTTATATGTATTAGGTTATACATATACAAACCTTATATTTATAGGATAGGGTAAATAAAAATAGAATTAAAATAAAAACATTATTTTATTTAGACTACTAAAATGAAAACCACATGCTGCCCATCAATTCTGGGCATTTACATCAGTCTGATTTATTAAGTACTATTATTATACCTAGTGTTACACTTTAAGACTTTAATGGGCAAGTACTGAATCTTTAATAGTCGCTTATGACGTGTGATTAAAACTTAAAAACTTGATACGTATGTACATTTTAGGATTTCTTAGTGCTGGTTTATGCTTGCAATCGGATGACACGTACCGTACATATCTAACAATTTTATATCTTAGCCACATGTATACCTTAAATGGAACATAAAAGTCGTTTATGTCCATGATAATATTATTAACATAGCAAATAATCAGTTCTAGTCATAGACCGTTATAAAGTTACAATACTGAGATCACAGAGTTGTTAAATTATTGTTATTATGTTTATTAAATCCCTTAAAAAAAACAATAATATAAAATAATACTACTACTTAAACTTAATTGGAACAATAGACACATTCATCAATAACATAGTGATCATAAATACTGAAAGAACAAAAATCACACCAGAAGAAGGCACTTCTTAATAATGTCTTAAAATCTTGAGGACACATATTATTTATGATAAAATGTTGACGTATGTTTGATCCAATGTCTACACCACATCCAAAACAGTATTGGGCAACTAAAAAATGAGTTTCAATCCAAGGCCATTTCAAATGAAGCCTATAAAACTCCTGGTAATCTTCATAAGAAAGGAATTTGTCAATATCGGCGTATATGACCATGTCGTCAGAAGAGAATTAACACGTTAATCTGAAATAAATATAACTCTTAAGTTATGTATTATAACTATTAATAAATTTATATGAAACTATGTACGTAAAACTAAATAATAGATTAGATAACTACCTTCACCTATTAAACATTTATTACAAATGTAATCTAATTCCATTGGACTACCCTCGACGCTTTCTTCACAATACCATTTGGAACAGGCCAGGCATTTGACTTTTTTACCTAAAATTGTGCAAGTACATTTATGACATTCTAGAATTTTTGAATTTTTGATGTTAGTCTTTAAAATACCATCTGTGTCCAAGATAGTAAAAGATTCCATTTGTTGAGGAAACTCTACAAGTTCGCTTAAATCTTCGGACGTTAGACGACTGACCTCTTCATCTTCATTTGGCATCTCAAAAGCGTAACTAGACATTGGTGGTTGGACTTTAGAAGTTGACGGAACATTGACAGCCAAAAAAGAATTAGAGGCATTTCTTGATTTTATTTTTCTCGGAAGTTGTTTTATTTTAACGTTAAGTGGCACTACATTATGAATTTGTGGAGAAAGACAATTGCAGTGTCCAGAAACTGGTCCGCAAAAACAAGATACGTCTCTAAATTTTACGGAGCTTTTATCTATTGCAATTATTTGGTGTACACGTAGAGTTCCTTTTAAAGGTTGTACGTTTGGTGGCAAAATCCTGGTTATTTCATTAATGGAATGGTCTGGTATTAAGAAGACTTGTATTCTTTTTAGGCACTGGTTTAAAATATCATAAGCATCTTGTGCATCAACTATGTCCCTTCCTTGGCAAACTTTTCTATCTAATGTACGTTTTACACAGCCTCCTATACCATCCGCTACGCTTTTACCATGCCCAGCTTCAAAGAAAGACCAAGTTGCATCAAATCCAAATCTGTTTGTAAAGTGTGCAAACAAATAAAAATTATTTTTTTGGCGGTACTGTGACGATGGACCATCAGAAAAAAAATGTAGTCTAGTGACGTTCGGGGATTCTTCTCTAATAAGATTTAACAATGGTTCTAAATGAGCCCAAATCGCAGGTGGTTGATGGTTGTTGGATTCTGCTATGGCACAGAAAGACTGTGACCTTTTGGTCCAGTAAATCATTCCCGTGTGAAGTGTAATTTGAGTTTTAGAGGCACCAAAGTGCATCGCTTGTATCTCACTGCCCATTTTGGTTTCATAATTTTCCGAGAAGTCGCAGACTAATACGACTTCAGTTTCTGTAAGTTGTGA